TCCGCCGGAGGCTGGAGAGCGAGTTGGAGGATATCCGAGGCGCCGGGACGTGGAAAAACGAGCGGGTCATCGCCTCCCGTCAAGGTCCCCACCTCTGCTTGGCGGGCGGCGGAGCCGGTGCGTACGGGGCGGCGGGGAGGGCTCTCGGCTTCTTTCCCCGGTGCGACGCCCGTGTTTCCCTCTTTCTCTTCCCGCAGGGATCCTCAACTTCTGCGCCAATAACTACCTGGGGCTCTCCAGCCACCCCGAGGTGATCCGTGCTGCCGTGGAGGCCCTGGAGAAGTTCGGCGCTGGGCTCAGCTCCGTTCGCTTCATCTGCGGTACCCAGGTACCGGGCACCGGGGCAGCATCCCCTGCTCCGGGGTAGCCTTTCTCAGGGGCTCTGCTCAGACTCCCGTCCTGGCACTCGCATGCGTGCGCTGTGCTAAGGTACCCGTGGCCAGGCGGAATCAAAACCTGCTGAGTCCCCGCTAGCCAAAAATCTGGAAAAACGCCAACTTAAGCCATTACAACCCTTCAGAGAGCAAAGAAATGAAACAGCCCTCTGAATTCAGAAAATGAATGTCTTTTTCCCTCCCTTAAGGGTCAAAATTACAGCGAGCCTGACTTGAAACAGCTCTGTCAAACCCACCCCGGTTTATCCCCGCTGGAGCCCTTTCAGAGCCCTGGCTGGTTAAGTGCAAAGAAAACTCAGAGCTGCTCCCTCGTGGGTGGGGAGCTTGGAGTCTCCCTGCTGCGCTTTTGGCGTCCAAACCCATAACCGCATTTTAGGGCCGTGTTTGCAAACGCTTTCTGAACACAACTAACTTCTCCCACGCACGCATACCTTTTCTGGATAAAACCTGGCTGTTCCCTCCGCTTGCAGTCAGCGTCTAACAGTAGCGGGCAAGCGAGAACTTGTGCTGCCCCACTGGTGACGCTCGCTCCTCTCTTCTCTTTAGAGCATACACAAGGACCTGGAGGAGAAGATCGCACGTTTCCACCAGCGGGAAGACGCCATTCTCTATGCCAGCTGCTTTGATGCCAACGCTGGTATCTTTGAGGTTCGTAGGGCTTTTCCTTGTGCTGTGCGTGGAGGAGTGAGGTGACGGCAATGTGCCTGCCGTGCCTTCCAGAGGCTCCGATGTGAGCTCTGTGCCTCGGTGACTGGTGGTGGAGAACCCTGACTTGATGCCTTTGGACTGGGGGAGCCACGTGGAGCTGTTTCATCAGCCCTCACCTCCCCCTTCCCCAGCTAGCTCCAGGTTTTGGGGAGGGCTTCCATTTCGTGGGAGGTCTGTACTCCCTCTTGAAGCGTAGGCAGGGGGAAGGGGCGATCCCCCAGGCCTGCTAGGGAAGGAGAGGGAGGTTTTGAGCTCAGAAGCCACAGGCAAGAGCCTGGCCGAAGGAAACTGGGGGATAAGGTGGCTGGGAAGGAAAGTGGAAAATTTAGTTGTGCCAGAAGAGACATGGCAGCTGCAATCAAATGCAGCCTTGTCCTCCACACTGAGAGATGCTGGAAGATCTCAGTGAGTTGGCACCCCAGAGCAAAGGATGATCCTTTCTGTTTGGCGCGGCCAGGCCCTGCTGACCCCGGAGGACGCGGTGCTGTCGGATGAGCTGAACCATGCCTCCATCATCGACGGGATCCGCCTGTGCAAAGCTAACAAGTACCGCTACAAGCACATGGACATGCAGGACCTGGAGGCCAAGCTGCAGGACGCGCAGGTGTGGAGGTCTGCTCCCCCCGCAACGCGAGGGTGCTTGCTTAGCTGTGCTACCTGCACAGTAACCAGCCCCAAAGGGTGAGCTCTGCCTTTTCCCATGCAATAGGCGTCATTTTTGCCGATAGGCACAGGGAGGCATGGGTAGGCAAGGTGGGGAAGCGGCTGGTTGCAATGCAACCTGCCCATCTCAGTTAGATATATCCACTCCCTACAGGGGCTGGACTATGTCCCAGTCTCCTTTGCCATCTTCACCCCTGGGGATGCTACTTTCCCTCCCATAGAAACATCGTCTGCGGCTGGTGGCCACTGACGGTGCCTTCTCCATGGATGGTGACATCGCGCCTCTGAGGGAGATCTGCCAGCTGGCCCAGAAGTATGATGCCCTGGTCTTCATTGACGAATGCCATGCCACAGGCTTCCTGGGACCCAATGGCCGGTAAGTGGCCATTTCACCCCTGTTTCTCCCCCTCGACCCTAACTACCTCTGAAGCAAGGCCAAAGGTGCTGATCACCAGCAAATTTTTATGTGGGGACTCCTGGAGCCACCGTTTCTTGAAGGCTTCACACCCCACCTTTGGGGCACCTGAGGGGATTGAAGGGAGGTACTTTAGCAGTGACCTATCCCAAGGTGACAGCCGCTTCTATAGTTCTGTAGTTGTACTGAGCTTTCTCAAATTTAAAAGTCTTCATAAGGAAGAAGTCATAGGATGGTCTGTTCGTCTTATAATCTTCCTTCCTTGGGGCATGGTAGCCATCCTGTGACTTGAGGCAGACCTTGTCGCTCTGTCCCAGTGGGCTCTGTGCTCCCACCAGCTGCAAAAACAACTGTTTGACAGCATTGAGGTGTGTAAGTGTATAACCGCTTGAGGAAGAGGGAACGGTTACCGAGCACTTCATGAGTTGTCTAGTTTCACTGTGAACCTGATGCTGTTGCCTACAACACTGTGGTTTCAAGAGAGCCAACAGCTGGGTGGCCATGCCTCGTCCTGCCTTTTTCGGCTGGAGGAGGTGAATCTGCGGAGCACGTTTGCCATGTCCGGTTGGTT